TGGAGAAACCAACCTGCATAGACTCATGATATCTGCAGGACTGTCTTATACTGACCTGCCACATGAGGGACCAGGACTGAACCCAGGACTAAAACAGGACTAAAGCAGGTCTAAACCAGGACTAAACCAGAAACGAACCAGGTCTGAGTGTCTGGGTAGGCCCCGAGGTGCGCCCGCTTATACTGCAGGAAAAAGGACCGGTGTTGTCGACAGGACACCTGTGCCCCACAGGACTAAGCACAGCTGTCGCCTGATGACGCTTTGTGGACACCCTGCTCCGTGGCTCGGGGTTTTCCCTCTCTCTCAAGTCCAAGATTAGTCCTGGTTTAGTCCTAGTTCAATTCTGCTTTAGTCCTGGTTTAGACCTGATTTAGTCCTGGTTTAGATCTAGTTTAGTCTTGGTTCTATTCTGGTTTAGTCCTGGTTTAGACCTGGTGTTAGTTCTGGTTCATTTTTGGTTTAGTCCTGGTTCAGTTCTGGTTTACTCCTGTTTTAGTCCTGTTTTCACCCTGGTTCAGTCCTGTTTTAGTCCTGATTCAGACGTGGTTCAGTCCTGGTTTAGTCCTCCTGGTTCATGTGTTGTAGCCTGTGATTTATGTTCTGTAGGTGATTATGAACGGCGTTAATGTTAATAACATGATTCTGCATAATTTTGAATAAAAAAACAACAAGTATTACAGATTTTTTACTGGGCTGGTGCCTTTATGTTTGTTTGGGGGGGCGGGATTTTCACATCGATGACGTCACAAATAACATACCCCCACCTGAAAAATCCCCACCTACACCAATGTTTATTATTCCGTCTACATCTCCAGAGCTCTATTCCACCTTGTGATGTCATAAGCAATAGTTTTCAGTTTCCAGTTACCTTTTACCTTTTGTTCAGTACAGATGGTTAATTCCAGTGCTGAAAGGTGGTACAGAGTGTTTTCTGACTGAGGAAAGAACTCAACTTAAATATGTAGGTTTCTGTGTTAAACATGCGTGAATGAAACAAAGCATAACACCAGGTATGTTTTTGATGAGTTAACATAATAACAGATCAGGCAGTAATAATATGGGCCCTTTAATACAGTGCAGACGCGTCTGAGAGCCGAGGATATTTCTAATAAAGTACTCTTGACATATGTCTTCTGACTCTCTCCGCCCTCCCTCCCATAATCTAACACTAGACTAATGCATCTCGTCAGCTGAATTATGCTGGTTGGGCCGTCCTACCTGGAGTGGCAGAATGACATCGCCCCCTAGTGTGAGATCACAGCATGGAGCTCCCTCATTATTTATTGTGCTATGGGCTTGTTTGCATATCCTCACAGTCCATGTACCGCTGCATTGCTTTGTTGCTCTCCGTTCTAATGATCCCAGCTGGTCTTCACTGCATTTGGTTTATATAACAGTGTGTAGAAATTAATTGTTTTTTAATATAATTCCAGTCAGTAGAAGATGAATCAACATTAAAGGTCCCATATTATGCAAAATGTAATCTTGTGAGCTTTAAGGCATGTTAGAATGTTGAAAACATACGTGGAGTTGTATTTTGTTTCATTCACACATCCATCACATAGGGTACCATATTTTTCAGACTAGTCCGAAAAGTCGCTCCGCAGTATAAGTCGCACCTGCCAAAAATGCATAATGAAGAAGAAAAAAACATATATAAGTCGCACACCCAGGAACCGTTATTTTAAGTTGAAAGGCAAGTTATAGTAATGACAATAGAATAGAGAACAACAGCGTGTTAACGTCACATAACGACACACGAACAGTTATTCAGATAACTATAGCATAAACAACTTAACAGAACTTAAGTTTACCAAACTCTCTCACTCCAAATCACTAAATCCATTGAATTCTTCATCCTCGGTGTCACTTCTGAGCAACTGTGCGACCTCCAGAGGTAAACAAAGTACCGCTTCCTCTTCTGCATAGCTGTCATCAGACTTAGAATCAGTTCCAGTTAGAATTATTCCAGCCTTTCTGAATCCGATAGGATGGTTTCGGTTGTCACTGAAGTCCAGGCTTTGTCAATCCATCCATTGACTTCCAGGAAAGTTGTATGGTGCCCCCTCTGGATTACCCTAAAGCTGTGTTCTCCAGTAGCAGAACCTGCTTTCCACCAGTCGCTCACAAGTTTCTCGCTCACTCCAAACTTTCTTTCTTCTGCTTGATTACCATTTTCTTCTGAATATTTCACTACTTGCAGCAGGATAGAGGCCATTTCTGCAGGAGACATGCACAATAGGGTCGCGGCTGTCAAGGTCAAACTATTAATATATATGTCGCACTATAGTATAAGTTGCAGGACCACCCAAATCATAAAAAAATGTGCGACTTATAGTCCAAAAAATATAGTTATCCTTTATTATTAGTTGGTTTAAGTTAACCTTTACCTTTTATCTTTAGTTCAGTAAAGATGGGTGATTCCATGGCTGAAATCATCCAAATGATTCGAGTGAAGATGTATGGAGTTTAAAAAAACACAGTGGAGCTCTTCCTGTATACCCACATGACATCAGAATGTGGAACACAGTGTTTTCTGTTTGAGAGTAGATCTCAGCCTAAATATGTAGGATTTAATTGTTAAACATGTGAACGTATGAAACAAAACACAACTCCAGGTAAGTTTGTGATGAGGAAACAACATTGCTTATCTCTATACACAATATTACTGTTTGGCCTGAAAAATTCCACAGTATTATACATTTTTTTCTGTCTTGCATGTTATCAGGTGTTTTATTCTTCAAAAACATGCATTCTTACTCTGAATGAGGTTGCTTCTTCACAAATCTGTAAATTTTCTCCATTTAAATAGCCTACACAAAACAGAACTATTCCCAATTCTCGAAAAGAAGACAGTTTGGCAGCTTAACTTCACACTTGGTTTCATTATCTTGATTAAGAACCCTCTCATTGATTGTGATGGAGCATTGTGTTAAATTTTGCAGTTTCCAGTGGAGAGGGGGTGGATAAGAACAATTATTTTGAGTTTTGGGTAATTTAGAGTAAACACTCATTTTGTTGTCTATCTGAGGAAAAGTGATTTGATCCTCTTATCAAACATTTATTTATTTATTTATTTATTTGGAATGAATGATGGAAATAGTAAGATTTTTTAGGACTTATATTACACTATTTTCTGATCTTTGTTCTGTCTGGAGTTGTGTTTTGTTTCATTCACACATGTGTAAACATACAAACCATGCATATATAGAGTTCTTCTCTCAGACAGAAAACACTGTGTTCCACCTTGTGATGTCATGTGGCAATACAGGAAGTGCTACACTGTGTTTTTAAACTCCAACCACCTTCACAAGAATCATTTGGATAATTTCAAATCTGAAGTGGGTAACATTTCTACTGAACTAAAGGTAAAAGGCTGCCATTAACTTGAAAACCACCACTTCATGACATCACAAGGTGGGACGGAGTATTTTGAGCTTTGGAAAAGTGGACAGACTGATAAATCAGAATTACTCAAACATGTGCAAATGAAACAAAATAACTCCAGGTATGTTTTTGAGGAGGTAACAACATTATAACTTCTGCTGGATGACCAAAATTAGTTTGTGAAATTATCTCAAATTGTTCCTAAAAATCTACAAACCATACTGTGAAAAATCTACAATGTGTTGATTTTCCTGTCCATAGAAGTTCTTATTTGAGGTTATGAAGCTGTCAAATCAAAGGTCAGCTCAGGCCAAGTGGAAGGCGGACAGCTGTTTCAGAGCTCAGTGCCCACGCTCATCTGTGACGTTGTGACGTGGTTCATTTATGCTAGGTCACCATCTTCCTCCTTTTAAATCTAATGCTTAAAACAAGATGGGTCATATACTGTAAGTTAATTGGAATAATACAGCAGATGGCGTTTTCATCAGAGAATTCAGTATACATTTGCCTCTAAAATAATTACCGGAATACTGGATGCAAATCTTGACTTATTTTGAATTATTTAGTCAGACTTTCTCATTTTGTATATATCTGCAACTATTTTAGTAGCCATTTTTAAGTACATTTTTAAGTATATTTTTAGTCAAATGGAGGTTGAAATATGGTGACTGAAGGATTTGAAATAAAGCATATTTACAAATTAAATGATACAAATCTGATTGTTGTTTTTGGGTTTTTTTCACATTTTGGTTTAATAATGCTATCGTTTTTGTGATACAACTTTTTTTACAACAAGTGTTTTAGAGTCTGTATAGTCCAACTAAAATACAAGTGTGATTATTTTAATAGTTTACTTGTCACAATTATTCCAGTTAATATTTACAGCCCTATTACTGAATATTTCTCTTTGGGTTTAGCTTGAAATCTAAACTAGTATCAACGGAAAACAAATCAGCTAATGATTTAATTTAATTTATTTATATCTCCTTTAGCAACAACAAAGCTATTGCTTTTCTTCATTCACTGCAAAAACTAAAATCCAGCCAATTTAAGATTCCTTGAATTAAGAAACTTTTATCACGATCTTATAAATTTCACTTAACAAGTAAAATGATCTACCAGTGGAGCAAGACTTTATGTAGTTATCTTGCTACACTTAAAAGAAAAACACTCTCTTTGCACTTAAATTAAATCAAATTCCATTGGTAGAAAATGTTACTTTTTGTTTCTACAGATATGTCATTGCTCTGCGTGGAAAGTTCCACAGAATTATATTAAACAGCCTTGCATTTATTCAATTACAGCTGTTTTTATCACTCAGAAATACCTACAAAACATGCATTCTGGCTGTGAGCAGAGCTGCCTCTCCATAGATCTACCCTATATCTTGGTCTTGTTTGGTTTCCATGAAGATAGAATAGTTTACCATACTGTGAAACATTCCAGACAAAGCAAAAACATCTGCATAGAGAAAAGCATTTGACGGGCCCGTCACAAGAAAAGTTACACAATGCACCTTTAAATAATTTGAACTTTTTGCTGTGTGTGAGCTAACAACACTGATATCTAACCTGTTTTTCCTTTTTTTTTGTTGTCTTTTTTTTACAGGAAATATGGTGAGCAAGGAGGACACCCAATGCAACGTGGTGTCGAATTCAGATGAGTCCGATTGCGAGACCGCCCAGTCATACAGTTTCAATGCAGAGTCTGGTACAGAGTCTGGAAAAGCGCAGGTGAAGAAGAGGAACAAGGCTTTACAAGTACGCTTTAAGGACATCTGCGAGGCTCAGAATGAACAGCGGAGAAGGCGCTCTCGCTCAATTTCTTGCAAAGTAACACATAGGAAATATATGACAATGCCCGCCAGACGCTCCATACCCAACGTGACTAAAAGTACTGGTGTGCAGACGTCGCCGGACCTTACAAAAAGATATAAGACTTTTCCGTTTGACAGGAAAAAGGGGCATACTTTCAAACATACTGCATTGGTGGAGAATTATAAAGGACAGAATAATGGATTTCTGAGTGATATTAAAACTGTTGAGGATGGACAAACAGTGGAGCAGTCTTCAAAGGTGAAAGGAAAGATTGTGTGCCAGACTAAAGCATTGCTGCACCACACGGATGACAGCAGCGACACAGAGGATCTTCTTTCTAGCGCCAACTGTCTGGATGGCCCGTCAGAATCTTCGCAATTTCCGGACGACTGCCACCCACACAGCCCGCCGTCCAAAACCCAATCGGAATGTCACGTTTCCACAACAACGAGATCCAAACACAAAGGCAAAGATGACACGGACGCTATCTCTTCCTCTTCCAAGCGCCAACTGACTTCCGATGGGAAAATAAAAGGTTCCGGACCTGTTGCGTGGAATTCTTTGACGCATGTGGAGTCTTTGGGGAGTCCGTCTGTGAGTTGTAAGAGGAAAAAGAGTGGACAGCTAAGTGACCAGCATTCTCAGACACTTCCGCACAGTGCCAAATGCTCAGTGCAGTCGCAAGGACATTGTAGGGCAAGGCATTCTTCAGCTTCGTCTAAACTTCAGCAAACAGGACAAGGAGGCATAGGGTTTCCCACTGGGGACGCAGGGGCAGCCCGAGGGGCAGCTGCTGGGACAGCAAGCGGGGACAGTGATATCAAAGCACAGCTGCAGGCCATGGAGACGCTCATCAACTCCAGCCAAGAGACCATCAAGGTGCTACTGGGAGTCATACAGGAGCTGGAGAAGGGAGAAGCTCAAAGAGAGGGGTGAGTGCGCTAATAGTTTTGTAAAGAAAACACAGAGACGGTGCCAGAGACAAGATAGTGATTAATGGTCCTATGCTGGTTAATTCATATCCTCCACAAGCTCTTTTGTTTACTTCCTCATGAGTCTTACCTATGGTTGCCAACAATGTCACTCCCCAAAGCGGGACACCCCCGACTGTGCTTCTGTCTGTTCCATCCTGGTACTGTCTGGGTTTCATTTTGATGCAGCCAAATCGGGTTAGTTTGAAATAAAAGCTGTCCCCTCATTCTATTCAGTCTAAATTTGTCATGGAATAGCTTCATTATACATTTAAAGCTCATCTGCTGCTTTAAAACTCCCGCTCTCTGATGAGTGACTGCACAAAACATTCACGTATATGTTGTGGTGTTTGCACATTGTAGAGTGTATTTTGAGATAAGGATCAATCCTATGAGGCTTTGATCAGATCAGTGTGATCAGTTATTTGGTTGACTGGGCATTCCTTCAGTATAGAGGCTCTGAGTGAAATGGAGGACAGCTGCTGTCCCTATACTGGCAAATAAAAGGCAGTCAAATTGCGGGGCATCGCACCTTAATTGGAAAAGCTTTACTGTATGCCAAACACAGGATGTATCAATGTTTATAGCAAAATCCTGTTGAGATAAGTTTCTTTTCAGATGGAGATGTTCTGCTCAGGAGTTTTAGATTATGGGGATGTAAACACATCATATATCCTATGTAGATGACATCTCAATGTAACCCTCTTCCTGAGTAATGACAGATTTACAGTGAAGTGCTTACAGCTGCAGGCAAACATAGATAGAACTGAAACTGTATGCTGGTCTCCCACTACAGGCGCCAACCCACAGCATATGTATGCACATAATGTTCAAGTCCAGTGTCTTCCACAGTTAGTAACAAGACCACCCTGGCTGTTATGTTGTACATTTCTTGCAGCAAATGTCAATCAAATGTCCATCAAACAAATAATGGTGTGAATAACTTGAATTCCTTGGCTTTTCTGTCTCTCGTGAGTTATGCTATAGACGACGTCTCTCACTCCTGCAGAGAAGATGATTCTACCTGAAATCAAAGGGCAGGAAGTTGGACGGTGGGCACAAAGTTAAAAAATGCAGGGTTGACTTTGGCAAAGTTTGCCACCTTATCAAACCTATGCATATGAAGATACACTTTTGCTTGCATGCATTTCAAGAGTTTTATCTTGAAAAGAAAAAAGGGTGATTTATTTTTATTACTATATTCTAGCGGTAACATCAGCAAAACTAAAGTTAAGTAAATTTGCCCAAGGAAAATTAATTCAATATTTATATTGCACTAAAAAAGATTATTCATTGAAAACACTGCTGTGCAAAGAATAAATTACAAACCTCTCCTGACATTTTTTTAAATTACACTTTTCTGTTTTGCAAATGAACACTTCATTTTCAATCTGTCCACCCAAATTCAATGGGCTCCCTTTATGTATTTTGTATAATTAGTTGAAAGCCACACTGGTACTTGAGTCGAGCACTAAATAGGTTTAGATCTAAATCATGACTTTTATGAAACACTATGAAACACTTCTTTACCTTATAAACCCCCCAACAAATAATTTAGGGGCACTATGTATCTTTTTTGAAGGAGATGTTAATGTTCCACAGTATGGTATTAAACATATCAATCTCCATGGAAAGAAGTAGCACTTTCAGGTTACAGGTCAGATATGGGCAGAGGCAACCCCATTTACAGGAGGAATACATGTTTTTTTTAGGTATTTTTGGACAAGAAAAACACCTAATTAGATAAATGTAGGACAGATACATTTAATGTCACATTGTGGAATATTTCAGGCAAAGAAATAACACATTCATGGAGACATGGACTCTCTACCAGACAGATTACATTTAATCAGTTGTAATTATCTGTCATGTTTTTTTTCTCTTCTATAATGCAATTTGGTATAAAAGTATTCCAAGTATTCAGAAAACAGTATTCTGTAATGGAGTACTTTACAAAATACATTTTAATGCAGGTATTCAGTATTCTGTACATACATTTTTAAAATATTCTTCTCATCACTGTACATGTGTAAAATGATTATACGTGTCTATATCTAAAACCCACAGCTCCACAGAGCAAATTGCATAAGCCTTAGCTGTCCGCGCGCTAGAACAAGGCACCCTAGTGGGCCGCAGTGGAAGTTCCATTAAAGGCCCAATTAGTGCAGCCTCATAACACTTTGCCTTTCATCTTCTCATAAGAGCGGCTGCTATTATACAGGAGCAGTGTAGTCTGTCAGCACAGGTGGAGGAGACAGGGCTGCATGTATGTACGCACGCTCATTTTTCACTTTGTCTGAGGATGGGCAGCCAAATAGAGAGGAAGTGTAAGTAAGAAAGGACATAGCAGGGGAGCCATATACGCCAAGGACACTGGAACTCTGAATTCAAATCACCTTCATGAAAGATAAGACAGAATAACATTATGACCATGCGTACAAAACTGTGAGCCTTGGCTTTCGTGTTATATAACTTAAGTGTAGGTACAGCAAGTATGGACAGCAAATATAAGTATTAAAACTAATTGTTATATGTATACCACTTCTCAGCAGAGGGTGCAAGGAGTTCATCCAGTTCTGTGATAAGGAGTGAAGCAGTTTAAGCAGAAATATGTAAAAAAATAAATAAATAAATAATGTATTCTAGCTTTAAAGTTGGTTAGCTGCTTAGGGGTATATTTACTAAATGCTTGTGTATGTGCAAAATGCATTGGACACAGTAAAAAGCAGCGGTTCAGATTAGCGTCTCTTATAGACTCTTTACGGACGCAGAAGCAATTTTGCTACTTGGATCAAATGAATGCAAAATGGTTGGCCAAAATGTTCAAAAAAGAAGGAGAAAATACAGATCACTAGAGCCAAAACTTTGTAGAAGGTTACCACATTGGAAAGACAGGTGTAAATTATCTATGAGAGCTAATTCACAAAATTAAAACAGCCTAATAATTATGCTATTCTGAAGGTAGCCGTGTTGTATAAAAAGATACACTTTACCTGTGACATTTTGGAACAAATAAGGTATACCTTTGTTCATGTTCTAATTCAACTCTAATTCAACTCCAGTACAAGTTTACCCTGGTTTTCCCAACACATCTCATGAGTGTGCATCAGCTGTTTTTTTTTTTTATGCATATTTGGATTTTACTCTGCATGAGGCTGGGCATGCACAAGGCTTCTGTGCCTATAGTCATATGTGTACAATGAGCACAAAATGGTAGTGTCAAATGTATTAGTCTAAACGAATGTTAAAAAAATAAATAAATACAAAGGGCATAACAGTGAGCAAAGTTATATCATGCAGGGCAGGCCGTGTTTGTGTATAAGGCAGAAACGGCAGAATCCTTTTGATCAGATGCTAAACTCTCATTTATTTGCATATTGCACTGGAAAAAGAAACTTTTTAATGGAAAATCAGGTGCAACACACCCACAAACAGCACAGGCAATTTTTCAGTTTGTACTCTAATGTTTCATTTTCTTTGTAATTTAACACACAGCTTAGTAAATATGTCCCTTAGTTATGACAATTTGAAGATTTGAAGAAGATTCTAAATGAGTTTGGTGAAGGTGGATTTATCTTTATACTGGATTACTCACATGGTGTAATTCTAAAAATATCTGTTACAACATAGAACCTTGTAGCTAGAATATCTTGTCTCATGGGTAGGTTTTTGTCCGCATCATCTACAGTTCCTATCACTAGACCACTTAGATAGATGGAAGCTCCTGACCTGCAGAATATCTCAAGAACAGCAATTTCACAGTCTCCCTGACCCAGTCTCCAAACTGTAACTCCTGCCAATGCCCGAACTCTTAACCCACCAACATAGAGAAGAATGCTCACTTCACCCTACCATTTTCCACTGATCTAGATAATTATTAGTGGCAGATAAGCTGAATGAAGTACAAATACAGAAAAGAATTGTACAGGGTGCTTGATAGAATACTGTATGAAAGAACTAGTGCTTCTTGAATGTTTTTCTCTTAGTGTAGATAAAAGAAGAAAGTTATGACGCACATGGGGGTGACGCCAGCAAACCAAATGTCAGAAGCACTCTCAGACTCTGCTCTCTGTGAAGCTGTGAGGCCAAATTATGATTGTCCCTTTATACAAGAGCCCTATATTCTTGGAACTGTTCCTCTGTTTATGAATATCAATTCATCTTTATGCATGGTACAATTACAAATCAGGCAATCCCCCTTTAATCCCCCAACTCCATACATCCTCATGTATAATGGGATTTTCTTTGGTTTCCCCCATCAGTGTACATGTGCACAATAGGCAAAACCCTTTATCCAGTCCTGGCCAAGCCTAGCTCAAGATCTGGAGATGGGTCCCTTGGCACTACATTGTAAATTGTGGCTGCCCATTACTCCTGACAGGTTGCCTTAGCAACACTGAAGGATGGGTCAAATGCAGAAGACAAATTTCCCTACGGAAACAATTAAGAGTACTTCTTTGCCAACCATAGGCCTGCAAGTAGATCCCAGTACCAGTCAATTACACTCTTGACAGAAAGATCTCAATCAACACAATGCTGGCAACAATGCTGGCAACAGTTACAACTAGTCACTGTTGGCTGTTGGTTAGTTTGCCAGTTTGCCACTGTTGAATTATAAGCTGCCCACATAATTAAAGCCACAGCATGTTAACCTTGCACAGCAAAATAGATTCCTGCAAAATTTGTAAGTTCACAATAAGATTCAAGTAGTCGTCATGGTGCCCCACCTATTCAGACTGCTTTCAGTGAGAACCATCCCAGACTGATAAATGTGTGCAACACAATTAAGAGTGACACACACATATCAATTTAGCGTGAGCCAATTTAACACTATGGAACTTTTTAGTCAAATCCCTAACCTTCTATTTCCATGGACACATGCTGGTGACATGCCATCTCCAGAAAGTTACATGCTGTGCCTTTAAATATTCTTGGCATAATGCATTTTTGAAGAAGTTCCA